ACCTGGGCTCCACCACTACAGTGACGCCGGACAAAGGCGATACGCCGAGAGCATAAAGAAGCTTATGGTGGCAATTAATATTTGAAAGCGCCGCTTCTCACATGGCGGTTATCGGGAGCCCGAGAGATTGTATCAAACCTGCATGTAAGTCGAAGAGTCGGCAGTCGAAACACATTGTATCCCTCGCCTGCTTTTCCTCTATATCTCTTTGCATCTGGTTATTTGATGCTTATGAAAAGTACCCAGTAATAATTTACTCGTCTCGTGGTTGACCAACCGGTCGTTAGTGTACGTCTATAGAAAATCTAGGACTACCTTTAAATATGTCGCACGTGAAAGGTATACGCTGTCCTAATCTGCTGCGGAAGTTTGGATCCTGTTCGTTGCTTTACTTAGGAAACACGTTACAAAACTCTAATCCCACTCGACAAAGAATCGCTTAAAACAATACGCTACATAGCGTTTTATAGAGAGCGTTGAATACAGAGCACGCACGGGTCGTTCGCGTCCACGTTCGCTAGTTAAGCGACCTAAAGGAAAATAGACCAAAAAATTTGTGGAGGCGGGCCCCCCTAATAAAGCAAGACTTAAGGCAGAGTTTCTCTGCTGTAGGCCATTTCCTAGGCAGTCTCGTTTGGTTCACACGTTTTCGCCTCCATGCATTATTGGTTGTGTGCGGGGTACCATTCCTATAGTGGATCGCCGTTTGCTTCAACTATCTATGAGATATCGCGAAATGGCACGACACCGCCCGCTACATGAAACGATCGGCGCTATGAGAAGACAGCAACATGTTAGTGCACGCCTATTAGGTCTACAGTATAGCTCGCGCTCGACGAACGCACGCCTGAAGTCTCAAACTCGTGCGGTAAACCTAGCTGTCCTCGGTTGATCAAAGCTACCTGGATCACCGAGATACATCATAGTACACGAGCTATGCGTGCCAACTTCAAGCGAATGGAGGCCACGATTTGCATGTGAGCAAGCTTCAGCTTGCCCCGGGCAAAGGTGTCTCCAAACTACGAATTATACATAGCGTCAAGCTTGTGCCGAGGCATCATCCGCTTCGTGCGAAGGATGCTTGGCCGGCCGCTCACCAGCTTATTCTCAACCAACAACATAGTCAACTGTATTGAAATTGTTTAAGGTTGAACTCGTGTGCACGTTTGCGCGATTTTATGCTTCTGCGAAATAATGTAGAGAAAAAACGAAGCTGACGAGGACATTTTTGGGGAGTTAAGAAACACCCTAACCTAAAAATCTTTGCCTTTTTGTCAGTGCAAAGGCACTGGCGGACACCAAAGCTTAAATCCGACTAAGGATGTACGCCCTATATATCCAGCTAAATGTTAGTTATACATAGTACCTATTACCTGTGCCGAAATACCGTGTTGACAAATCAACAATTTATTACCCGTTTGCACATGGTCAATTCCATACTTGCACATACGCACGTCTAGCTTTATTTTTTACTTTATTACCTAGCTAATTTACCAGTAAATGTTAAGGTCATTTTTGCTGTTTTATTTACGTATGTAATACGTGTAATATTTGACTATTTTTTGCATTATAATTTGGCTATGTATCTAAATCAAATTATTGTCTAGTAAAACTTATACTGATATCATGATAGTACACTGTCTTTAAAAACCAATAGACATTGGCTTGCTTGTTACATGTCCTGTGTTATGATTATTAAATATAATAATAATAATAACAGTGGCAGGATATAAAAAGAAAAAAGTAATTGCCAGATTGAGAGAGGCGGAAGGTTACTTGCTACAATGAACAAAAGCTGACCCGTTTGAGAATTTTATTCCGCTCTGAATCTTTTGCTTTTTTTCATTGTTTTAGCTCCAGTGACCCTTAAAGAGTGTGGAAGTGAAAGACCCATCTGCTCTCTCAATAAACCTTCCTCGAGAGGTTTCTTTGAGATTTCGAGAGAAAGATATAGAGAAAGGAAAAAGCGAGGAGAAAAGGAAGGCTAACGCATACAACGACCATGTCCGGCAAGGTTGATGAGTACCCTTAGAAGTCGCATCTCCTGCGTTTTCGGATGCTTCTGCATGGACATTCCTGACACCATCTCAGTTTCAACTCGAGCTCTGCGGTACTCCGGTGCCTATATCCTTTTTACGTGGTCTGCATCCTGCATAGCTTGTGTAGTAGAAGGGCGTGCATGGGAAGCCATTCAGAAATACTCGGCCCGTCGACGCTGTACCAGCTCACAGTGCTTTTCGCTGAGTGGATGTCATCACCAATCTTAGGCTGGGGTCTACGAACTTGTTCAGATCTAGAAATGGCCTGCAAGCGAAAAGATCTGAATCTCGGATTCCTCCGACGGGCCGGTGGAGGTCGAGCCATTTCCGCAACATAAGTAGAACCATTACTCCTTGAAAGGAGCGGTACGGGTGGTTACGGCAATGGTTACTTTCAGAAGAAGGGCAAACACCGCCAACGTACAGTATATGCCATACGGGGCGTCGGCAACACCAGGTGTCTTGACGTCTCCGCGAAACCGTCTGTTCGACATGACCACCCCGAAGCACTTGGTGAGAACCGCAAACGAACGAAAGCATACCCTTCCCTTCGTTTAGCAAACTCAATGGAAGAAAGACTGTCCCTGTGGTATCGTACAGATCTGCTCCTCTCAAGGTGACAGCCAAGTGTTTGGTATCGTATAGTCGACGGTTTGAAGCGATGAGAGCTGGACCCCGCTATTGTGTGAGTGTGTAGGTTGGCCGTTTACGAAACTCAATTCTTTGCTTTCTTACCATTGAAAAGAAAGCCGATTACAGCAAGTCTTACGGGAAGAAAATGACAAGGAAAGACGGGGACTTATGGGCGCGACCGCGCAGCCAGCGGTCCTCATTGAGGAACGGCTACGTCCTGTGAACAATGGCAAGGAAAGAAGCAAAACCGCTAACCACAAGAACTGCTGTGCCCAAGTTCGCCAGTGTTAGGGTTGCACTTTCATGAGCGCTAGCCAGGGCTGTGATCGCCACTCCAGCAGCGACGTCGTCTTCGCGCATAGACAGACATAGACACTGCAGTTAGTAGCTATCTTCCGGATCGCTGGATAAAGGTAAAAGGCACAGCGAAGATCCATGCTACGAAGAAATCCAGACCATTGAGGTGATAACGGAATGTGACAGCGGGACGCCGGCGAACATAAACTCTAATGATTGTTCGAACTGTATTGTATGTAGAGCCGTACCATTAGAAATAATACAGCACAGCCTAACACATCATTCTACTACCAATGTTTATCCTAGTCTTCGTGTATGTCTATCCACTCAAGCTGGGCGGCCTAAATTATATATATTGTATTAGTCCAAAACTATTATATTTATTCATATACTGTGAATATTTTCAAATGTGTGTATGTACTCGATGATAAACATCTCACTGACCTACATTCTTGTGCCAGGTTCGAGCGTCTTCTTTAGAAAATTATTACCGGCTTGGCTTAATGGTTGCAGAGAGATCAGGGTAATTATCCTGTGTTTTGCTATAATGGAAGACATTGCTAGACTCTAGTGATAGTCTCTGGTCTAAAGAAATGTTTAAGCCCTTTTCTGTCCAGCCGATGGCAACAAGCAATTGTTAGCTAGACAAGCATCGAGACGATTCCAGCTCACAATCTATCATAGCAGTAACACAACTGCGTTCATGAACGATTCAAGATAAAGCTATAGTGTCTACCTAACTTAAACGACAATCAGGGCAATTTCGGTTGACACACTTAGCAGCTTTTATGTTGCATCACGTCATTCCGATAATTTTGACAAATGTCAATAGTGGTTTCCCGACAAACTAGGTCTATTGATATCTTGATTGCGCCCGACAAAAATGAACGCTTCAGAAGCATCGTCTTCTTTCAGTTTCGACAGCAGAATTAGGCTTTTCTTCCCTAAAGGCCTGGGTTTTTCTATGGCTGAACCAAATGGCGGCCATGATTCAAAAGCGGAGGAGACATGATCGCTTCCATGGATCATGGGCATAAACCACTTTCCCTTCCGTCCCACCACACGAATAGCCCCCAATTTGTGGTATTCTATTGGTCTACTGCCACCACTGCGCTCTTATGAAGAGATAGCTGCCGTCTACCCAATGGCTAGCTGGTGACCCACGCCCGTGACATATGACCCGTTGGCCATAGAGCGCCGGAGCGCCAAGCCACCCCCTCCTGGTCATTGGGACCTGCCCGGTATACATTGCTGGCGGCTAGGGTAATGGCTTGCTTAATGTGTTTCAAACTGCGGTTATATAGCTGGTCGCCCCTATTCAATGAGCCCCCCATGTCTGCCTTATACCTATTGCAAAAGCTCGCTCGCTCTTTGTCGTACGCGATCGGTCGCCGCAAAAGCAATGCCAGCAACAGTGCCTCAGCTTACAGCCGTACAAGCCGCTCATCGTAGTCTATCCGTTAGTCATTCCAGATTAGGGGCGGCAAAACCGTGGCGAAGTAGTGCCGCCGGCGTTGCCCTTGCGCACATAGAGATTTAAAGGGACGGGAGTATGGAAGAGGCAATAGCGCATAGGGAACGCGGGGACGTTATAGTATCGGGGAGTTGGGGAGTAGTATGGGGAAGAGTTTAAATAGCTCATAACGGCCATCATGGCTAGTTGTCATGATTGCATATTATAATAGCAAGGCTATATTAGAATATAATAGCCTATTATAGCATTATTATCTGTATAGCCAACTGCTTACACTAGGGCAGCCGTCTGACAGACAAGTCGAATGGCCGGCCCGCGGCACTTCACTACTAGGCTAGCAGAACTCGAGCGCGGGAACGTACCGTTGTACGCGGCTTGCCTGTATTAGCAGCCATCCTAATGTTTGATGTAGGTGGGTAGGTAGGTGTTATTCGCAAGGGCGCCGACAACGACAATGATGCATCCATGGTGTTGTGTCCGTTAGCCTTAATCGGACGGCCGTATTTCAGCGCGACACTTATTCTAACGGATGGTGCAGACGGTTTTGGTATACTTACAGCGACTGAAGCGAGTTCACTTGTTCGGTCCGGCGCGCAATGACAATAGCTATTTGCATCAGGTTACGGCCGACATGCTAGAAATATGTGTATGAATCTAGTTAGAAGCATTCGCTGGGGGCGAGTAAAAGACAAGGAATCGCACAACAACTTACCAGGTCACACAACGTTTAATATTACCTTTAACTTCGTTTCTCCGGATTACTGAAGCGAGTAGTCTGTTTGACCGTGAGAGCAACGCGGCAGCACCAACGCCACAGCGGCAACAATTTTTTAGCGCGCGCAATTTGAACTGGCTATCATTTTTGCCTAGTTTTTAATGTAGTCATAAAATATATGATAATAATAGCGGTACCGATAAGCGCCCAGCAACAATGGACTAAGCGGCAACGGGCCATCTAGCGATTCGTGGTAATTCTTTTTATCGAACGCATGTCTAACATAGTAACGTGCACGCCGTACCGATTATTGTTTAAAGTAATGAAAACCTATTTCCTAAGAGCTGAATTATGGTATTATGACTTTGGGTAGATAAGCTTAGCTATTAAAAAATGTTATTAAATCTAGTTTATTAATCAGCAACAATTTGATTTTACAGCAAAGTGTAACATCGTATTTATTACACTGACTTCGTTCTGTTATTCGAGTGGGCGTCTGCAAGGTCACGTGGCTGGTAAAAATAAATAAGAGTAAATCATGCCTCAGCTGAGGCCATCCATCAAATAAATTAACGGCTTGCAATAGATTTCGTCAAGTAAAAAAGGATACATTATTCTTCTGTCTTATGAGCGCGCCAGTTAAGACGTTTTGTCGTAGTGCCGAATCTCTAAGCTTTCACAGCGAGGCTTTGGTTAGTTACCCGAGCGGGATCGGCCTAAGTTAACAGAGTAAGCAAAACAGCACCGATAAGCTATCAAACCACATTTCTTTTCATCGTTTCTGGATTCTGTGAAACGTACTGCGGTCGAACCGGAACCGGTATATCTAGGCTGTACTTAGCGCAATTCTCGAGAATTATGACCACCAGAAAGAGCCTCGGGCATGTTCGCCAAAGCTTTCTCTACGCCATAACCCGAGAAGTGCCTAAGGCGATGTATAAGTTGCCAAGAAAATATCAATTAAATCAATTTGTCCTTTTTAAAGCCATATAGACCCAGGTAACATAAGAAAAGGATGTTAGGTGACAGTGAGACCATTTCAGTCCAAAGTTACTTAATGCTAAGAAAAATATACCAGCTTATTCGTCAAAGATGCTTTTTTTCATTTTGTAGCGAAAACGAATTTTTTTTTTTATTTCAGAGAAAATATTAATTGAAGATGCCTATATCGTTGGCCTAAATAGCTCCACCGAGTTGCATTATATGGACCAGATATAGGGCTGTATAGGTTAGAGGTAGGCCCGAATGAGGCTGTACTGAGTTCGTGCGAAGCAATCAGTCATTCAACCAGACTGAATAAAAATTACAGCGATTATAAGATGACAGAGAAGCAAATGCTTTAATTATCTACTGCTAAGTTAGGAAGCTCAGAAGTTACGATCAGACTACCATAGATTCACATGAAGTTCTGTGGCGCAGTATAAAGCCAAATTTCGAATTGGCGCGCCAACGAGATGCGTGTTGTTTGAAAGATTTCGAGGAACAAAAAATGTGTGCAACGTTGTCTACAGTACACTTGGCCGGATTAAAACCTATCAAGCTATGGCCTAATTCAGGTAGGAATAATTAATAAAATCGCTACAAAAAAAAGTTGAGAAGGTTTTGTACCCGTATTGTCCATCCTCTTCATTATCAGAAATTTCGAGCTTATACACTACACCTTGTCGTGGTCGAAGCCTACGGAACTTTTCTGTTTTCTGAGTCTTAAGTTCACGGTGTTCTGAGGGTACAGCGATTTCAACTTCTTCTTTTTAATTTGTCTTTAAAAAATTAATTATGTATTATCATATAGATATTAGCTAATTAGCCTTTTCCATAAAGAGCCGCCACGAACAACGGTTTCTCTTAATTTGGTCTTTCTTAAGTCTTTTTTCTTAATTCCTTTTAACTCGATTTGAGCACAACCGGAAATGGAAACACGCTACACATGGCCAGTAGCGCGAGAGCTGAAACAACGTAATTGTTATTCTCGAACAGTAAACACATTTAGCCCCTGTTTATCGTCCGCTCCCATCCTTTCTTCTAACGAACAGCTCTCAAGGGTTTTCTGGCTGATATGAATTTAGACTCTTGGGGAGTCGGACTTTTAGAAAGTGATTTGGTGTCTAGCAAAATGGCGATACAGGTCTCCAACTATTCTTCATGCTCTCACTATGGACGTACCCTCGTGCATACGTGTATACGTATTATCGTAACGCATAATCATACGTTTGCTCGTTGCGTGAACTCGATGAGCGCCTTCTCTCGCTCTGCGTCGACGCTTACTTTCATAACGGAAGATGCAGTAGATGGTCCCATCACATAGCATCGTCGCTATATAACAGTTAGCCTTTATAAATTGCCCCAGGCTGGTCAGTAGCTTGCTGCCAACACCCAGATTTGGTTAGCCACCCTGTGATCAATTTCAATTTGACGTTGGGGGCAGCAGCGGTTGGACGAGTTGAGGCCAGACAGCACTGCGCGGAGCAGCATCCATATAGCACATAAACGCAGAGCTCGCGCGGTCCTAGTCGAAATCAAGTGAACGACAAAGTTTGGCTCCCATTGCCACCGGTCAAGGCAGCCGAAGCGTCGGCCGAATGTAAACGCGTTTTTGAAAAGTGCTAGAGGGTTAAATATTCACATTTCGCAATTTATCTGTAAGTCTCAAAGCAGCCTTCTGACCCCTGGCCAGCCAGGCCGTCGGACAGTCATCCATAGTTGCCAACATTCGCTCTGTTTCTTTCTACAGACCCCTCCATCCGAGTACTGTGCTACCTCCAGCAACTCTACGGAACATCTCAGCCATCGGTACACGAAGGTGGCGGTCAGTACATACATAGTAAAAGACAGAAGGGGAGGCAGCCAGGCAGGAAAGTCACGAATTAGGGTACGGACTCCACATAGCGCCAAAGTACAGCAGATATATACATCTATACCTAGAGAGCAATAATTCTAGGTAAGCGTCGAAAATACACATGATCCTTCCTCTGCAGACATATGAATATACAAGACAGACAGATACATGCGAGGTGTTTTGCATCTGGTACCGTAACTGCTATTAAGTACATCTCAAAGATTTGCGTCCGGTCATTTATTTTAATTGGCTTGTGGCAGCCCTTACGAGAGCCCTAACTGTTCATGGAGACCGTTAAGCTGCTCTAGTAACAAAATATAGCTAAAATATCCAGTGCATATGTATAGACAAGATTTGACCTCTTAGAAGAAAGATGGCATGTAGTGGCCCGTGTTATGGACAGGCATATACAATTTATGATGACTATTCTAATTATTACGTTTACTTACTTTAAGGATTACGTTTACTGTTAGGGGAAAGAGGGTTAATCCTTTCCTCACTTACGTAAAATTCATTACCCCTCAAAGGATACTTGGTTATTCAATAGTCGCTTGAAAGAGATGTCAAGCGCCGTTGTTATATTCTTCAGATACCCAATATATGGTTACCATTTTTTTTCTATTCTCAAGGCCTGTCGAACGTCGTACGCAACGATTTGACAACTCGATAATTCATGATAATCTAGTAGCGAAGGATATAAATCAGTATGATAGCCATTATTTAGTCTGCTGCAATAAAAGCGGGAAATTAATTTTGGGCTGGAAGTATCACTGGGCCGTTTTCATCGAAGACGCTGTCGGACATCAATAAATATTCCATGGTGAGAATTTTTATGCCCAATATTTTGAGCCTTAAATTAGTGATATGGATCTAGAAGGCACATGTCTCTGTTTGCCAAATATCACGTGACACAATGGCATAATTGCATGAGACATTCCCTGGTCCTTCAATCCCCTACTTAAATGATCACCTATTGGTGCAATAGTGCGATTTACCGCCCTTGAGCTGTGTCTATTTTTTTTTTATAACGTGCTTACGTTAGCAGGCCCGTAACCACCCGAAGGACGAGATTAGACAATGTATCACTGAACTCCAGCCATAATTAAGCCAAACAAAAAAATGGATAAGTGAAAGCGCGTCTCTCAAAGGAAGTGTAAAGCCCATGATGCTATCTATTGAATGTAATGTTCCATACATAATTCTCATATGTCTACTTTATGATGAAATAAAAAAAAATGCAATTAGAGCAAAAATACTATATTTTGTTTAGAATAGGAATTTTTAAATTAAAATTTTTACCTTATGATAGGCCCTAGTTGATATAGGAAATCAGCAAATTTCTGCTCTGGACAGCGGTAAAACCACGAGGCTCTGTTCAGGACAAAGTAATGTTAGCCACCGACGACGAAACGAGGCCTCTGTTTAGCGCGAAATTCTTAAGATGAATGTTTGCAAACCGACTCTAAGTAGTTCGATACTCATCCACGTTTCTTGCTATACTCATAATTGACGCAGTCCTGAACAACTGCTGTCTCTCGTTTTAAGTAGGCCTACGCATTTCCTCCGAACAGCAAAAGTGTCCTCTCTCTATGGCAAAAGTGGCTTGTCGTGAACGAAGGCTTCCTTTGCTTGGTTAGCTCAGATGAGTCGATTTGCTCTAGTACCATTTCATTTTTAAGACCAGTCGCACATTCTCACCATAGATATAGCGATATCTTTGTTTCATTCATTGTCAAATGACTCGCTTCCGTCTTGAAGGTTTCTACTTTCTACCGTGTTGAGTGCATCAATTCGCTTGCGTCGACGAGTGATCTGCTTGGGCCGCGTCGGCAACAACGGCCAGACCCGACATAACGGCGAGCAGTAAGCAGTTTGGCGCAGACTTAGCAGCGTCAAGAACTTACCAGATGAGCGGTTGGTGTTCAGTAGTGAAGCTAGAGTGCCGAGTGTAACCAGCTAGTGAAGGAAGAATGGTATATGACGTGGAACACATACGAGGGATAGAGATCTGCTGCTACAGTACGAACTCCAGCGATGCCACAACCATCAAAGTTGGCCGGGTAAAGTTTTTGCCACATTTGCTGCGCTTTTCACTTATCGTTCACTACGAAAGGGGAGAGCGGGATAAGAGATGAAGATAAAGAAAAGAAGAAGCTGAAGCGAATAAAGGAGCGAAATCTAGGACGGTGGAGAACTATCGTCGGACAAAGGATAGACCTCGAGCGGTTGCTGGGCAAGTCACCGATCCCGCAAACCCGCACGAGTTCCCCT